TTGTCTTAAGATAATTTGTTTTAATACTCTTTTCTTTAGATAACAAGTGATTTTTTTGATTTTAATTTTTTATTTTTTGAGAAACTAAAAGTTTCCTATGAATTCTTCTGTGTTGGAAGACCTATTTGATTTAAAATCTTTTGGGCTGGGCTTCCCTGGTGGCGCAGTGGTTGAGAGTCCGCCTGCCGATGCGGGGGACACGGGCTTGTGTCCCGGTCTGGGAGGATCCTGCGTGCCGCGGAGCAGCTGGGCCTGCCTGTCCGGAGCCTGTGCTCCGCCATGGGAGAGGCCACAGCAGTGAGAGGCCCGCGTACCGCAAAAAAAAAAATCTTTGGGTCTTATACTGTTTGTCAGGTTTTAAGAGAACTCATTTCCCCAGGTCAAATTAAAGCTTCTAAATATAAGTGTTTTCAGTAGCAGGAATGGCATTGCTGAAAAAGCTGATGGTAGGATAAGCATTTGGGGTCGTGTTTTTATTAACATATTTGTTAGTACTTGTTCATTGTGGAAATGTGTACTTGACTAAGACCACGTGTGGCTGTGGAAACCACTTTTGTAGTTCAGCATATACAGGTGTTGTGTGTATTTAGCTTATTGTATTATTCTTGCACTTAGCTTAAAGTAAGGATTTAAAATTGCATTTAAGGGGATCATTGGATATTACTGTTTGTGAAACTGAATGTTTTATGTGCTGCTTATAAACATTATGAATCAGTACTTAGGAAAATTTTACTTTACTTTCTTAACCTATCAATATAAGCAATAAACTATGAAAAATTAAAAAGATTAATACTTGAATTTGACTATGTGATTTATCAGCTTTTCTCCCCAATGTAATTCTAGCTGCTTAATGTCACTAAAAACTTTTTTTCCATATTATTCGTGTAATGCTTCTGAATTGGTAATGAGATTCAAGATAGCTGGGCTGATCTTTTTATTTGAAAAAGTAAAAACCAGTTAAAAAGCAACTTTAGTCTAAACTGAAATCAAGACTGAGAGTGGAATAACAAAAGATCAATATCACTATTTTTTTTTTTTTTTTTTTTTTTTTGCGGTACGCGGGCCTCTCACTGTTGTGGCCTCTCCCGTTGCGGAGCACAGGCTCCGGACGCGCAGGCTCAGCGGCCATGGCTCACGGGCCCAGCCGCTCCGCGGCACGTGGGATCTTCCCAGACCGGGGCACGAACCTGTGTCCCCTGCATTGGCAGGCGGACTCTCAACCACTGTGCCACCAGGGAAGCCCAATATCACTATTTTTGCTAGTCGGGGTCTACTTCACCCTGAAGAAGGACCTGGTAGTAACTGCCACTAGGCAAGTTATACTGGGTGCCTGTATTAGTCAGCTTGGGCTGCCATAACAAAATGTCAGACTGGGTGTCTTAAACAATGGAAATTTATTTTTTCACAGTTCTGAAGACTGGAAGCCTGGGATCAGGTGCCAACATGGTCAGGTTCTGGTGAGGATTCTTCCTGGATTGCAGATAGCTGCCTTCTCACTGTGTCCTCACGTGGCTGAGAGAGACCTCTGTTGTTTCTCCCTCTTATAAGGCCACCAGTTCTGTCAGATAAGGGTTCCACCCTTATGACCTCCTTTAACCTTATCACCACCTTAAAAGTCCTTTCTCCAATATAGTCAGATGGGGGTTAGGGGGACACAGTTCAGCTTATAGCAGTGCCATTAGTCTTACCATTTTGCTAATGATCCTGGCATTAAGAAGTTTTTTACGGGACTTTGTATTAAAACTTTTTAAAGTTGGAATTGTTAGAACTTAACTCAAAAATAGCAAAAACAAAAAAAAAAAAAAAAAAAAAAAAAAGAAAAAAAGAATTTATTGGCTTCTCCAACTGAAAGAAGGGAAAGAAAGGGTGGAGTTGACTCCACAGCTGACTGGATCTAAGAACTTGAAGAGAAGACTCTGCCCATCTTTATCCTAATTTTGGTTTTACTCTCTTAGGAGTCTCATCATGTGTCAAGGGAGCATGATGGCTAGCAGTTCTAGGGTTCCATCCATACAACTCCTGATCAAGGGAGTTACTTTACTTCCTAATACAGAAGATTCCGAGCAAGGAGTGTGGTTGTCCTGCCTCTGGTCATTATTCTTGGGCCAGGAAGAAGTTGTACTGTAGCCTGAGTCTCATGCCCCACCTCTTTGGTGAAGAAGGGCTTGGAGTGGAGCTCGGAGCTGGGTACTACTATTAGCAAGAAAGGGAAAGAGAAGCTGGGCGGATAGAAATAACAGGTGTACACTGACTCGATTCATGAGCTTACTTATTAACTGAATTCTAACAGTAAGGCAGCATGGCTCTTTTCTAGTATCTAGAGCTGCACTGTGTAATATGGTAGCCACTAGCCATGTGGGGCTATTTAAATTTAGCCAATTAAAATAAAATTGAAATTAAATTCCTCAGTTACACTAGCTACGTGTCAAGTTCTCAATAGCCCTGTGGCTAGTACCAATACATTTCCATTATTATAGAAAATTTCAGATAGTGCTGATCTGCAGCGTTCAGGTGCACTCTCCTAAATTAACTTACTTCTTTTAACTTACTATGAAAAATCTCAAGTATATACAATAGTAAAATAGTATCTTGAGCCCCAGGCTTCAACAGTTAACCAACCTTTTGCTAATTTAGTATCTTACCTGCTGGGAGGGGCAGTATTATTTTAAAGCAAATCCCAGATATCACTGTATTATTTCATCTATAAATACTCCAGTATGTATCTCTACAAGGATAAAAAAGCCCAAATACTACTACCATACCCTAGCAAAAATTAACCTTAATTCCTCAATATTCTATCTAATACCTAATCCCTGTTTAAATCTCCTGATTTGTCTCAAAATATCTTTGAGTTTGTGTATTAGTTTTCTATTGCTGCTGTAACAAGTTACTGCAAATATAGTGACAACACTTTCATTCTTTCCAGCTTTTTAGGTCAGAAGTTTGAAACGGTCTTAACTGGGCCAAAATCAAAGTACCAATATAGCTACGTTCCTTTCTGGATGTTTTAGAAGAGACTCTGTTTACTTGCCTTTTCCAGCTTCTAGAGGCTGCAATCCTTGACTCGTGGTCCCCTTCCATCTTCAAAACTAGGAATGTTGCATCTCTCTGATGCTTATTCCATAGTCATAGCTCCCCCTGACCCCCAGCTGGGAAAGGTTCTCTGCTTTTAAGGACCCATGTGATTATATTGGACCCACCTGGAGAGGCCAGGATACTCTCCCCATTTCAAGGTCCTTAACTTAATCACATCAGCAAAGTCTCTTTTACCATGTAAGGTAACATTCACAGGTTCTGAGGATTAGGACATGGACATCTTTTGGGGCTGTTATTCTGCCTACCATAGTTTGTTTGTAACAGGAACTAAACAAGGTGTTGCCCATTGCACTTGGTGAGTGTGTCTAAATTTCTTTTAATCTCTAATAGCTCCCCTCCCCCATTTTGTTTAAAGTGAAGCTCTTTCTTTGAAAAAATTCATACCTTTTATTTTTTTTAGCTAGCATGTTTATTAGTTGCTCAAGCAGACTGTCTAATAGCTATCTAAGACTCACTTGAAATTGTTTTTTACTGTATTTAAGCTGGTTTTCTTAAGTAAAAACTGTAATATTAATTCTAAGTGTAGAAATTTTTAAATGAGGGGAAATAGTTCACTTGGCCTCTCATCAATGGAGAGAGGTGTTGTCTGGAGAGTTGTTTGGCTGCTTCCCAAGAGGCCTCAGGAGGCTGAGTTACTTGGGAGAATGTATTGTAGTCCAGAGTTTGATTTGCAGCATTGCAGGCTCAGAAACTGATTTCATCAGAAAATGGAGAGCACATCCATCTCTTGGGGTGACTCAGACTCACAGAAACCAAGTTCATAAGACCAGTGTATGAAAATGGATGCCAATTTACAGATGTAAAGTAAAACTTGCATCGTGTGGCCAGCAAATTCTTCCCTTCTCCAGGCAGACATGTGGGAAACTGAAGCATTAATTATGAGGGCAAATCAGAATTTGGGGAGTTACATGAATGCTTTACCTAGAGCATCAGGTAAGATAAGATTAGGGCTGATACAGGAAAAGTGGCTCCCCAGGGCCTGAAGCAATACAGAGGGGTGTGTTTCCTGGGTATCTTCCTTCAAGACTGCCTTGTTACTGTCACTAGAAACTTGGCTTGAGTTTTCACTTCCATTGACAATACCCATCCAAGCATTGTCTGTTTGTCAGCTTTAAAGTGACTTTGCGTGTTTCTACTGTACTTCATTTAAATGTTCATCTCAGAGGTAGTTCAAAGAGGGCAATTTTATTTCTAAGTTCTTCAGGGGAGCTTCATAGTTGCTCCTAAGAGCTGACAACACTGAGCATTGGGCCTGAAAATCAAGAACTTTTTAAGAGCTCTCCCTGTGTCCCAAAACATTCCCAGTTCTCTAGGCCTGATTTTCTTAGGGTCTCTATGCTTCCCTTCTTACCACAAATAGAGACTGAGGGGTGGACGACCAGTGAGCAAGGTGTTAAATGGGTCACGGAGGCTTCTGCTTTGCCTGAGTTCTGGTAAATGGCTGCATGAGCTAGTCAGACTGTTATGTTATGGGATAGGATCAAGGAAAAGGTTTTGGTA